CGTGCCCTGAAGAGTCGTGTGTGCGCGCCCTCATTCATGTGATGCCTTAAGCGAGGATTTCCACGGGAGCGCGCGTTTGACGCTGGTGCGGTCAGGAAGCAGTGTGCGGCATCGGTGGGGCGAGGTTACCACTGGGCTCGGTCTGCAGAACACGTTCATTCTTGGCTGCGAATCACGTGAGCTTTTGAGTGATTCCACGAGCTGCAGTATTGTAGTGAACTAAGCCTGATGTCAAAACCTTGACCTGAGGACCTTATGGGACAGAAACTGTCATTTCATTGATTTGAATCCAGAAATACAGGTTGACCCATCCTGAGACTTTCTTTCTTGAATTAATCAAGTAAAAGAAGACTACTTTCTATTATCATTACTATTTTACAAATGTTTTGATAATCAAATTGTGTTAGTTCAAACAATGTTTAAATGTTGAAGTGAACTACTCATTTTTAAATCAACTGTGAAACAGTAATAACGATTTTTAATCCTCATTCAAAGAAGAAATCAGGTTAATGATGCATTGTCTGATTTTCTGTCTTCAATGAGCAAGGGTGTAAGTTGGTCAAAGTTCAAGTTTCGGTCAACTGCAAGTTTACTGAAAAAGAAATGTCATGTTTAACTTTTACAGCAAGATACTAGAGAATTGACTCCACGAAGTCTGAAGTTCTTCATAATATCTTTTGTCTGTTTTTAAACAATCTTAATCTTTTTCCTTGACTTTTCATAACACCTTACATCACAAAACACACCTCTGTTTTGGTCCATCGACCAATCAGAAACTCCCAAATGAACCGGAAATAGAGCCCTTTAAATGTTGGCACTTCCTAGTTCACGGTGAGTTTAGTTGTGAGAAGAGTCAGCTGATGATGGAGAGTTCTGCAAGAGGTTCCACCTCCAGTTAAGTTGGGGTAGATGAAGAAGTTCTGCAGGAGCTTGAGCAGTTCTGCAGTTCTGAAACTCGGCAGTTCCAGAGTCCAGAATGCTGAATGCAGCATGCTCAGTACATCTGCCACTAAGCTGGACGAGAGAAGTTCAGAGGAATTATGAAGTCTGTTCTGGATGATCTCACGACTCCCGAGGTTTAGCTGTTCTTACGGAGACGCTGAAAAGTGGCTCGAAGTGAACTTTACGCCGGAACTGACATATCTTCAGAAAGGTAAAAAGTCGATCTTCAACCAAAGTGTACCGTTGGGACAAGCTGGTCCAAAGGAGCGTGCATGTTTCTGGTTAGACAGACAAATTCCCTCACACATCTCTCTCAACTTAAACTTCATTTCCCATCTTTAAAATTCTTCTATCTGCTAAAAATCATTACAGATATTTTTAGAAATGTCTGAAGCAAAGTTTTTCAATCACCGCCGTGTGGTTAATGTCTGCTGTTCTGCTGGAAGTGAGAAAACAATCGCCTTATTGTTTACTTCCTGTAAAACTGATTAATAAGCTGTCGTTATTTTCAATTTTTGCCAATTAATGTAAATGTGTGATGTGTTAAACTTGATTCTGTTAATAAATGACCCACTGTCGTTGGTGAGTCAAAGATAGTTAACGTCTCACGTCCACATTTTTAATTATTCAATGCACGATATTATCCAGTCCAGAAAAATGAAAGAATCCGTTTAATTTATGAATATATGACAGCATATGTTCATACTACAGTATTAATTCAGAAAACCTTCTTTGAGGATGAAGGAGCGGAGCCGCTGTGAGGCTTGTGAAACTGTTGACGCCGTGGGAGTGCGCGTTTGACACCACTGCGATGAAAACGCGTGTCGCTCCTGCCGAGAGCGAGATACGTTACTGGGCTCGTACCTCGGTCTCATGTTAACGTTGACGTGAACGGCGGGCGCTGAGAGCTGCGTGCGCACTTTCATAACGCAGCGCCTTATAGGTGAAGGCTGCTCGTGCCACTGGAGCACGTGTTGGCACCGCTGGCAGTGAATGAAACAACCTTAAAAGGCTCATTCGTGATGAGTGTGTGTGATGGGGCCGCTTGTCAGATCATCCGTGGTGACAGCCTGGCTAAAAGACACTTCAT